GTGAACGCAGATTCCACCCATGTGAGTCTCATATTGGACATTGTACCAGAGGGGTTGCTTTGTTAATTGCATCACATACAATCGGATGACGTCACATGTCTTGCTGAAATTGCTGGAAATATTGATAATATTTTGTGCATTAAAATTGTTAAGGACCACTTCGTTCCAACTGCAAAATTTTACTGGGTTTCCAAACCAGTTAAAAACGTTTCCACACAAGTTTTCTATAAAATACATTTCAAAATAGGTCAAACAGACGTTTTATAAAAAAGTTTCTATCGAAATGAAATTACGTTGGTACTAGTTTTCTTCACTGTAAATCCTCATATACAAATAAATGTTTAATGTTTTATACACTTATTTGTAAAAATAGTGTTTCACCCTTATTATTGAAGTTTTTGGTTTGTTTTACTATAAATATTTTGACTAAATTTGACGACGAACAGAATGAGAGTATTATCATGGTCTTATCTTAATTTCTGTCGGTCTGTGTACCTGACATGGACGCCCAAGATACCAATTTAAACGCTACATACTCCGGGAAAATTAGAGTACAGATAAGATAGCAGTTTCCCTGTATTCACTAAGTTTTTAAGGACGTATTTGGCTGTTTTAACTATTCCTAGCTTACTAGAAACCCCACTTTTTTGCGACACATTTTCTCATAGGTTTTACTCCATACATACTTGATCAAATGATCAAATACAGCGCCAATCAGCTGTTTAGAGAAATACCCTTCTGAAGATACTGAGAGACTGCACTCGAAATGCTGTTTAGCATAGCAATGGGAATTATATGTTATATGAAAGTGGGAAAGAGTTATTATAATCAATGATGGTGTAGTGCAACTGTTTTATATGGTATTTTTAAATAACCTAAATTTCATGTAACTGTGTAGATGTAAACATAGATATTTGGGCCGACGAATGGTGGTTTTATTCTAGATTCTAGATTTAAGATTAACGACGCAGTTGTATGACCGTGGAGGGTGTATTAGCAGACAGTTATAACGACAATGGTCACAATTTATGGGACACAACTATGCAATAATCTGGGCACGGGATTTGCCAGAGATGGATGGTAGCTCACCACACACCACACCCCAGCTTTATAAAGTGCCTCGATAATTTGTTTTAGTTTTGGTTTAATTTGTCTGAAAATATTTAGGAACTTTTTCAAATGGATTGTAGTAGTTTTGTGGAAGCATTGCGTATTTATTTTAATTTGCATTGTTTACATAGGAAAAACTATTTAAATCTGTAGTTGGTCTGTAGTTGGTAAAAGGTAGTTGGTGGTTGGAAATGAGTAGTATACACTTTAGAAGGGTGGCAAATAGATTTTTTAAAATATTTTTTTTACATTGAAAAATACAAATTAATTTTTTTTTATTAAAGCATGTGAAAATCTCATTGATATCTCGAAAAGTTGTTTAAAGAGGTCTAAACACGTTGTGGCATGTGTTAATTCCCATTTTTGACCCTCGTCACTTAGATATATCCCTGAACTATGGAGAATGAGTATATCGTTGTAGTTTGCTTGTTTAAGAAATCATGTTGTTTGGTACATTTATATATTTCATTATATACTATTTATAGTTTTACGAAAACACACACTTTAACACCTTCTCTGTATCACCAAACTTAAGTACTCACAATACGTTATTTAAATAAGGAATAAATTTGACATTAAAATATTATATAAGTGAAAACCCAATCAGGTAAATGAATACTCGCTTGGTCTGCAAGTTTCTTGCGGCGAGGTATTATTTTATTTGAGTGTTTATTGGTCTTCACAGTTTAGGACGTTTGGAGTGGCTGTTATGTTATTTCGCATAGAAAACCTATTCGATTTAGCTGATTCTATTGCTGTGAACATACTAAAACCTCCTACAACCCACAGCGGGTTCAGAGCTCAAGTCGTCATAAAATTTGTAAATGAGCTTAGGGTGTGTCTCAAAGAATCACTTTTCATGATTTGAATGGGTCAACATATGATTGATAACGTCACTTGGAAGTAGGTAGAGTAAGGAATAAATATACAGTATTTTTTTCAAATTTTAAATCGCCAAACCTTTGTGAGATACTGCGACACTGCGTAGTCCCTCTAATGAAGGATTCATTCGTCGAGACAGCTTCTGCAGACGACGTGACGTCACGACACTTTAGTCAATAAATCATTTGCCTTAAGCCCTTCCGTCACTACAGATGTGGAACCGTCCATTAGTGAAATTACCAAATGTGAGATATTTATAAAAACTCGCTCCCCGGTAGACGCCAAGTCCCTTGCGTCCTCCGTCCCTGAATATTCTGTCTCTATCGTCCTTCCCTTGCTCACCTGTTTATCAATTCTTCACTATACTACATTTCTCGCGTTTGTGTAAAAAATGTACACAATTTTGTTTTATAATTAATTAGTTAATATTTGTTTCCGGCTTGATCCTGAGAAAGCCAGTAGATTTTAGGTGGTTCAAGACCCATCTCTTCTTGATAGTTGAGATTTTAAGGAAGTAGTCCTTGTAAAAGCATCAAAACGATGCTGGGTCAGTTACAAAGATGGGGAGAACGCAGTTGAATAGCACAGTTAAAGGACCAATTTCGTAGACCGATTTTTACAGTTCAATAAGAATGTTTTATAAGTGCCTTCATTGATAAAATTGTTTTGCTCTACCTCTTGTCCTACAAAAAAAACGAGATTTAAGGTTGAAACATTTAACTGCAATCAGAACTCTTTAGGTTTGCTTGACATTAGAATTAAAAAACGCCTTTAATGTTACGTCAGGAAAGCATACTTACAATATTTAAAGTTGATAGTTCAACCTCTTAAATTGCTGTTTGGATTTAAACATTTTATGAAAGAACTACATCGTAATTACAAATAAATAATCTGCAATTTATTGTAAAGTTCTTATTGATTTACAGTAGGTAGGCTCAAACAAAGCAAAAGTCGATTTTTTAATTGTTGAATCTCTCTTAATTTTTACATCACATTTTTACATGTGAGAGATGTTGTTCAGAGATTGACACTTAACGTTTTAGAATATATCATGAATCAAACCAGTTACTCTCAAAGTATGAAATGCTAAGCACTGCGTTAGTATCACACATCTTGTAATTAACAAATTTACTGTAAAATTTCTTATGCAAATATTAGAACGAAGCTGTATATACATACGTACCACACATTTTCTCAGTTAAATTTTTAATAAGTGTCAGCAAAGTGGAGAGGTGATAGCCGATAAAACCTTGGACATAAATGGTTTGCCTGACCAGAGTTATTGCCGAAGGTATGTCACGTATATGCATACCCTACACTTGACGTGAGGCATATATGATAGCGTAGACACGTACACCGTAGGGGACCCATATACTGCTTGTCGCTCCTTATGACTTTTATTGATTTATATCCAACCTTCTGATCTAATCTAATATCAGGTCGTGTTTGGGCATTCGGTTTTATTTCAGAGCATCTTTTTAGTCACTAGTAACTAGCAAGGTTATTGAGGATGAGTAACTTTTGACAAGTATTAGTGCATGATTTAGTGTTCGTCTTCAAACGCGTTTGATAAAACGGATCGGTTCTGGACCCAAATACACTTTATCATTGGGTTTTAAATTAATTATACTCAAATATACAAAGGCTATACGTTAAATTGTAACAAGACCAGATTTAGATCGGTTCCTTATACAGAAATCCTATACTCTAATACGAGCAAGGTTTGCTTGTATGTATGTATGTATGTATGTATGTATGTATGTATGCTTGCACCAAGATCTCGAAAACGGCTCCGACGATTTTCTTCAAATGTTGTAAATAGTTTATTTCTGGCCTAAAAACGAGTTTACTGCAGTTAGAACTGCCAACAAAAATCTAAATACGTAGAAAAATGAAAGTGAAAATCAAATTTTTTTAACATTAGTCTTATGGGTTGCTAGGTAACCATGTTGGCTGAATTAAATAACAAGGAAAAAGTAAACAACAGACTTGAAGTTGTAGCATGTGTTCATAATAAGCCTACTACCCACAGTATACTGGCAAATTACAAATACAGTACAAAAGGAAAAACATCAGTTAGTTATTACTATTAAGCAAAGATTATACTGAAGATTACTCGATACATTGTTTGTAGTAAAGGCTAGCAGTGCGGAGTGTAGGAAGCGTCTGAGGCATTTGGATTAATGTATCTAAAATACTAAAATGCTACGGGTATATTTCCCATCTTTGTGGAACAGCTGAAGCCAATTTTATTGTTAGTTCTGTCCGGTTTTCTGTAGATTTCGTTTTTTGTTTACAATTTGTTAATATTATTTTAGGGTTAGTTTCTCATTATTTGTGTCTCGCCGTTTGGATATATAGGTAGTGGACGAGTTATTGTTTATGATTAGATAGTTTTATTTGGTTAAACGAGGGTTTAAATTACTGAAATAACAAGAAACAAATTGTAAACAAAACACGACATCCATGGAAAACCAGACATAACTAACAATAAAATTGGCTTCAGCTGTTCAATAAGGATGGGAAATCTTCTAAGTGACTATGTTTTATCATGTTCTATCCATGCTTAAATGCTAAGAGAAGGGTAAGATATTTATGTAGTATGAAATTATGGAAAAGTGGTATGTCAATCGTATGAGCTTTATGCAAGCGCATACTTTGGTAACTATATCTCAACTCTAGAACGGTAAAAAGTGTATTACTATATCACTATCTCGAAAGAAGTCGATTAAATTTTATTCTTATTGTGACCAACTTGGTTTAAAATCTACCTAGAGTCGACTCAATCCGATTGGATTGTATTATGTCATTACGTATTACGGCAAAACTAATACTGAAATGAAAATGGCAAAACTAATACTGAAATAAAAATGTTGCATTAAGCACATGTGGTTTTAAAAGTCACATGTTTGTGATTAACATATCAACAATAGAGTTTTGTTTGTAAACATATTGCCTCAAAAGATTCGTTACTAGATGGAAATGTACTCAACAAATAATCTGAAATCATGAAAAGAGGACGACCACCAAATAAAAGGTTGAAAAAGTTGGGGAATTTCTTCAAAAGTCACAAAGCTGATGAAGACCAGGTAAGTTATAAAATATAAACCTTTATTAATTTAACACGTTCGCTACTGCAATAGTACGAAATTTTCCATTCACATGGACCAGCGACGCACATATGCGACGGCCGGTTTCTACCCATAGACTGCCGTCGCATATATGCGACGGCTAGTCACATTGAAATAGACTGCCGACGCATATTTGTGTCGGGGTTCTAATGTTATTAAAATGCTTATATCTTTGTAGTGGTCTATTTGAAGGCACTGAATTCCCTGCAGTGGTCTACAGAGATGTCTGACGCACAACTGCGTCGCTTGGTCTGTGGATATGATGATTGGTGACGTCATATAATAGTAGGAAAAACTGATCTTTACTCTTCTGCATCACTGTATGTATGTATGCAGTATGTATGCTGCATTATCCTATGTATCTTTTATATTTGTTCAGTTGTAAACTGTTCTTGAATAATCTGTTTATTTTTTTACTTACTTTCACCTTAAAACTCAAAAAATGAGCCGTCGCATATATGCGACGTTTAGTCTATTTCAAGAAAACTATGATAATTTTCACTATTGTTTTCGCTGTAGACCGGGCGTCGCAAATATGCGACATTACAAAAGGTTATAAAAAATACAAAAAACAAGAACAATTTATTTACAAACACGATTGTAGCGTATTACAATGTAAATGATCACTGTTTTACAGGTTTTCGCCCGTGGTCTGTGTGTACTGTTATCCAAGTGACAGCCGGTCTATGTGTAAGATTGAAATGTATACCTCGGTCTGTGGCAATGGCCGCGGCGTCGCATATATGCGACGCTCAGTAGCGAACGTGTTAATTACATACATTAAGTTCGTGTGGTATGTCATTACTAGCTTACACCACAAATACAGAAATTGGAATAGAGTTGCTTATTTTATATTTCTCTATAGCTCATTGTGTAAGGTACGTTAAAAAGTTAGATGACAATTTTTATGATTGGTAGTTAAAAGTTATTAGGCCTAACTAATTAAAACTGATCCATTACTTGATTATATATGATATCAACGTTCTTCAAAGAACATAACATTCTTTTTTATTTAATTGCAAAGCTAATGGACACCCGGTTAGCCTAAACGTTATAGAGTCCCAGAAGAAAATGTGAGTTTTTTTTAATTTTGTTAACATCGTTATTATCACTGAAATAGTTAGCCTACATATTTCATTTAGGATTAATTAAAACTATTCTATAACGGTAGGATAACTAAGGAATAAACTTATTTGTTTGAAAAAATTTGAGTTCTTAACTTTTGTCCAACTTACTGGTCAATATGGTTAAATAAATATAATGATATCAGTTTCTCTAATAAATTTAAGTAGGTACCTATTTAGGTAGGTATTTAAGTATGTTTTCAATACTTCAAAACCTGTGTAGATAAGAATGACTTTGTAGCCTATGAGCTAGCATCCAGCAATTATAATTATTATTATTTGTAAAATCTAATATCATTCAGGAATTTGTTCTATTGCAGTAGCAAGAGTGTTTTAAGTAGAAAGTTTGTGCCTTTTTCACCCAAACAATAGAGAAGCAGGTCGTAAGTTAAATGTGACATGGTGTGGAGACCGTCTTGAGCATTGTCCTACACACAAATATCTTAGTGTCATACTTCGGTCCAAAAATCTTCATATCACGGACACGAGTTCTGGATGGATCACTCTCAAGCAATCGGGTGGCAAGGTGGGAGGCCAACCCTCGCATACAAGCCAGGGAGGAACTGGCTCCTGGTGGATGCCTTCATCACGGTGTGGAAGACTCTAGCTAGATTGAATCAGGGTCGAGGTACAGTACCAAAATGCAAGACAAACATGCAGAAATGGGTCTCTTACATCATCACATGACGAAGAAAACGTTTTGTCCATCTACTGATGTCCACGCCTAGACCAGACTTGCACATTAGATGACCTTTTACAAGCGAATGACAAAGCCATATCGGTAGCTAATTTCTGGAAAAGCAAAGTCTGATTTCCGGACACGGAAAGTAAGTAGCCTAAGTAGCATGAGGAGGAAGAGGGAGGCTATAGGGTTGGTTACAATTTTTTAGGACCTTTAGAAAGGAGCTTAAATTTACTTTCATTGACAAAACATTTTTTTTTTATTTTAGGTTGCAAAAGAACTTGAACCTGAACCTGAACCTGAAGGACCTGAGGGGTCTGGTGTATGTGTCTTAGAAGTTCAATCTGAACAAAATGTGAATGTGAGTTGTTATTATCATCTCAACCGTATTATTAATGTAAAATTATTCAAAACAATTAATTAATTTAGTTTAAAAATATTATTTTGTGATAAATTAATAATACCAATAACCAATGAAGTAAGTACCGGTAATCAGTCACCAATTTTACGATGATCGAAAAATAGCTTACACTTAGATACTTTACAATGAAAATTACCTTTCCAACAAGCATAAAAGACAAATATTTTAATTTCAGGTCCCAAATGGAGTGCGCATGTTAAATGATCAATCAGATAAAAATGTGAGTATGAGTAACTATAACTGAACCGCATTGTTACGGTAGCCTACTAATGAATAATTTTAAAAAATTGAACCGTTCATTTTGTGGTTAATTCATATTTGAAATGACATTTAATGTACTGTAGAAAATTATGAATTTCAAACAGAAAAATTTAAAAAATATATTCTAAACACGCAAAAGAATCTGTCATCATTATAATTATATGTGGTTAAAATTTGCATAACTCGATTTTTTGAACACTGTAAATGGCTTATGTACCGGTACCCAAAGACTGCCATAGAAAGATAACGTTTGCCCAAAGTAATCATTAATGGTAGATAGGAGAGAGAATATTCATATATGTTCATGAATTTTTACTGTAGGTAGTAAACAAATAGACCTCTGTTATTGTTTGTTGAAATTATTTACATTTATTTTCATTTTCCATAATGATTAGTTATTCTGATTCTGGTATTGGAGTATGCCAAGAGTAAGATATAGGTAACGCAACAAGTGTAGACAGGAATATATTCTAAAATGGGCCAGGTGATGCTTAAATTTTTACTCTCAGTAGACTAGGATACAAATCATGCAGTATTACAAATTAACACAACCTTAATACAGATTTTTTATTTGTACAGCTGATGACTTCCAACAAACTCATTAGATGTGCGAAGATAAGGGCTCTGGAGATAATTTCAGATGTAAGTGCTCAAATAAGTCAGTCTATGGTGGAAGAAAAGGTAAATTATTTTGAGCAAAGAAGAATGTCAGAAGACAGTCAGGTTCGTGCCACTCGCCTTGAGGAACAGCGAAAAAGAGACGCCAACCGCAGGGCTGCCGAGGAGGAGGGCAAGCGAGCACGACGCCTCGAAGAACTCAGAGAAGCAGCCACTATCCGCAGAGCCGCCGAAGAAGAAGACGAGCGTGTTCGACGCCTGGAAGAACTGCGGCAAACAGCCGCTATCAGCAGAGCCGCCGAGGACGAAGACGAGCGAGCACGACGCCTCGAAGAACTCCGACAAGCAGCCACTATCCGCAGAGCCGCCGAAGAAGAAGACGAGCGTGTTCGACGCCTGGAAGAACTGCGGCAAACAGCCGCTATCCGCAGAGCCGCCGAGGACGATGACGAGCGTGTTCGACGTCTTGAAGAACAGAGGCAAATAGATGCCAACCGCAGGGATAATGAAGTGGTAGACGAGCGTGCTCAACGCCTTCTAGAACAGCGTCGTCGTACAGCTGAAATACGACAGAATTCTGAGCGCAATCAACTTCAATCCTATAAAGCCGCTGCCTCAAGCCTCGTAGAGTACAACAATTTGGGAATGTTTGACATTGCATGTGTTCATTGTGGTGCTGTTCATTTTTTAAAAGAGAGAGTGCAGAACAGAATTCACCCTAATTCGTTTGGTGACTGTTGCCTTCATGGTCGCATTGAACAACCTGCGCCCGAGTTTCCCAATGAATTGGCATTGCTGTACACTAAACAACACAGACTAGCCAAACAGTTCCACGATAAAATTCGAAATATTTCTGCCTGTTTTGCTTTTTCTTCATTCAATGTTGCTGATGACAGGACTTTCAATAGTAAAGGTATTTATACATTTACTGCTGGTGGACAAGTGTATCACAAGTTAAATTTGGCGGCTCAGCCAGTCAGTAACAGTGAGGGTGATTTGGAAAGACCTAGATATGGCCAAATGTACTTCATTGATCCGGAAACAGCCGTTGCAGAACGTATGAATGAACCAATGAATCAAGGCATCAATCAAGAACTAATACAGATTTTAGAGGAGATAATGAGAAGTCAAAACCCATTTTCACAGGCTTTTACGATGATGAGGGAGATAGTTGAGGAAAACAATCAGCGTGCTGAAGCTCTTGGTGTCCAACCACCACACGTCCACCTGGTGTTTGCTGAACGTGCAGGTAAAATAATACTGTTTTCTCTAATCACAATTATTTTGTATGTTATTTGTAGTTGCTGCAAAAATATAAAACCAGAAATATAAAATAAACAGTAACTAAACATAAAACTTATGCAAACTTATCAAGTAAGTTGTCTTGTGTTTGTTACTCCTCGATAAATATGATAGCTCTAAAGGGAAATTTAATTGAAGGGTCGCCACAACTAACGTTTTGCTGCAATCTCAGTACTAAACTCTGAAAACCTCCATATAAGCATAGGCAAACGCGCCGTAGCCTTTTTTATTTCCTTTCTCCGTAGCTTTCTATATTACATGTAAGAATGACTACAACAGCCTGTTAAAATAATAATACCCCCGCCGCAGCAAACCTGCAGACTAAGCGAATTTCCATTTGCCTGATTGGATTTACACTAAAATGACTCCTGAAAAGTATCACATTTATTCCCTATTTTAATAGATTAGTTTAACGTACTTAGGTTTGCTGCAACAGGGAGGGTAAAAAGGTGTTTTGTTGTAAAAAGTAATAGTTAAGTAAAAAATGAATGTATTTTACAAATTCTATCAAAATATGTTCATAAACAAGCAAACTACAACAGTTGACTTATTCTCCATAAGAATAACATAGGAATTTTAAATTTACAATTTTTTGGAATTTTCTCCGTAACCATTAGGCGCACAATAACGCTTCAATATCCTAAATTATTTATTTTTTTAAGCTCTACAAAATGGTTTGGAAAGAAATTGTGAAATGTTGTGTTTTTAGGGTAAAAAACGGAAAAACCTATTTTTATTTGTGTCATTTTTCTCTTAGAACTAAATAATGATTAAAGTTAAGATTTTTGTTGTTGTTCATATCATTAATTTACGATGTTTACTTTTAGGCGATGATCCCAGGAGATTCAACTCACCAACTTATAATGAAGTTGCTGCTGTAATTACATTAAATGCAGACCAAAGTATCCCGGAAAATGAGATGGTTATTAAGGAGCGAGGAAAACAGTTAATAACGCTCAAGAACATTGACAGCCGAGTAGAACCATTCACCTACCCTCTCCTCTACCCAAAAGGAACTTTTGGGTTTACTGTAGGGCTTCCTCTTAAAACACCTTATGCAAGCCGTGCACACATGACGAGGATGGAGTTGGCTCAATACAGGTTAGCCTTTCGTCCAGAACAAGCCAAGGCTCTTCCTCCTGAACCATTGCTAGAGGGATTAGATCTAAGGTCGATTGGATTTAATGCTCTCCACTTTGGTGGTAGACTGTTTCAACAGTACGTCGTGGACACATACATCCGTGTTGAACGTGATCGTATTCAGTGGATCAAATATAACCAAAAGAAACTTCAAGCTGATCAGTATGCAGGAGTAACACATTTTCTAAATGAATTGGCTGAAAAGAAAAATGCTACAGTTGCTGAAAAACTGATTTTACCATCATCTTTTCCCGGATCAACGAGATATTTCACTGAACACTTTGAAGACGCTATGGCAATTGTCCGAAGGTTTGGCTCTCCAGACTTTTTTATCACAATAACGTGCAGTCCAACATGGCCAGAATTAAAAGAAGCTGCATGTATTGAGCTCTCTGATGGTTCTAAACTACAACAGTTCGCCCAAGAAAGACCTGACATTGTGGCTAGGGTAGCCAAATTGAAATTTGACAGCATAGTTGAAGATATCAGTAAGAAACAGATTTTTGGGAAGTCTTCTGCTTTTGTTTACACTATAGAATTTCAAAAACGAGGATTACCCCACCTACATCTTCTTGTCATCATGGCAAATGAAGACAAACTCCGGTCTCCAGAGGAAGTAGACACTTTCATTTCGGCAGAAATTCCTAATGATGACCCAGTTCTAAGGGAGTTGGTCCTCAAATGGATGATTCACAATCCATGTGGCGAACTTAATCCGTCTGCATCATGTATGGAGAATAAGGGTGGATCAGCTAAATGCCGCTTTGGATTCCCCAAAGCTCATCAAGAGTTTACGTCAATTGTTGACAACAAAAAACCGAATTATAAGAGACGGTATGACCCACAACTGGATCCAAATAACCCAGAATTTTCTCACGTCCATGCGGTGTACCGCAAAAACAGTGATGGACAAAAAGTTACACGGGACAATAGACATGTTGCTCCATACAATGGCTATTTACTGAAGAAATACATGTGTCACATAAATATCGAGTATGTTGGTAGTGTTAGAGCCGTTAAGTACCTCTATAAATACATTTATAAAGGGCATGACTGCGCAAATGTAAAAATTGTTGAAAATGTGGCCCGAATAATGTATAATGAAGCAGAAACATTTGTTGAGGCACGTTATATTTCGCCCCCTGAAGCATGTTGGAGGCTGGCTGGAAATGAAATCCAAAGGAAAAGCCATTCGGTGCAACGTTTGGACATCCATCTAGAAGGTCAGTACCGTGTGGGAAACATGGAACAGACACAAGAAGATGTAGCGGACACTGGCCTGAAAGGGTCCACCTTAGAGGCGTACTTTAAACACAACTCTAAACTTCATATAGAAGAAGAGAATGGGAATGAAGTAATCTACTACTTCTACTGGCAGATGCCAGAAAAGTACAAATGGTTAGGCAAAACAAGTGAATGGGTGGTACGACAGCGAAGCTCAAAAACTATTGGAAGGATCCACACCGTGAACTTGGTGGCCCAACCTGAACTTTATCACTTGAGAATGCTCCTCTTTCATACCAAAGATGCCAAAAGTTTTGAAGACCTTAAATTTGTAAATGGGACTGCCTATTCCACTTATAAACAAGCATGCCTGGCAAAAGGCCTTACATATGATGACCAGCAATGGATTGATGGGCTGCGGGAATCCGCTTTGTCAAAGATGCCGAGTGTCATGAGGACACTCTTTTGTCAAATCTTGATTCTCGGATCACCAGAAAACCCTAAACGTCTCTGGGATATGTTTAAGGACGAGTTGGCAGAAGATTTTCTTAGAGAAGCAGAGATTTCTGGAACCCCTCTAGAAGATGCTTACAACAGAGCATATAGAATCATAGCTTACAAGCTAAATACTGAAGCTACAGAAGGTAATAATCAACTTATAAATATTACTTATTACAAAACTTAAATTAAGTTTATTTTGGGTGTATACCCCTTCAAAATTTGTAATATATTTATTTATATTTTATTTTAAATGATAATATCTTTCTCTTAAACTGACAGCGAGTAGGTTAGCCATGCCAATGGTCGATGAATGTTGTCTATTGGTCTACCAAAGTTAAATATCAATCTTTAGTGAATTCCTTCAACATATCATACATAATACCATATGAATATTCAATTATTTTAATGTCTTTAAAAGGCATTTCAAAATAATTAACAAAGATGGTCTAATACAGTCCTTACTATTATTTATTAATCACAAATTTATAAAAAACAGATGATTTCAGAATCAAACCTTTGCAGATATTTTTATAACAGTCTTTAAAAACTAAACTAAAATATGTTAATTTAATATAAAATAATTTATAAATAAAAATACTTTTTAAAAATAACACGTTTTTAAACGCACTAAAAAGTATCAAATAATTTATAAAATGTTGAGAAAATAAATACTTGTAAGATTTAAAACGAAAAACGTGGGGCGCATGCTGATTTACAATTAACTTCTCCTATTGAACTATTATGATCTATTGCATGCGCCCCACGTTTTTCATTTTAAATCTTACAAGTATTTATTTTCTTAACATTTTATAAATTATTTGATACTTTTTAGTGCGTTTAAAAACGTGTTATTTTTAAAAAGTATTTTTATTTATAAATTATTATCTAATTTTTAGTCTTTAATGTGTAAATATGTTAAATCTATTTTATATAGCCTCTTAATGCATAACCAAAACCCAAAACCTTATTATCTGTAATCAGATGTTTTATCTTTACTTTGAAATGATTGTTTTATATTTTTAGAATATCTCGAGAGCAGAACCTGTACCTCTTAACATCTGCTCTTCTAACTGTCAAATTTAAGTATTTACAGCTGACTTAAATTAATTTATATGTTTACATTCTTTTAAAATGTAAACATGGAAAATTTGGAAGCCAAAGGGGCGTAGCCCAAGGGAAATATGAAAATTAAATTATATAATATTGCATTGTCATCCATTTGTGAGCTATGTTTCAAGTTTCAAGTCTCTAGCTCACCGGAAACTTCGTTTAAAATTGATATCAAAATTTGTAGGAAAGCGAGCTAATAAAAACAAGCCCTTGGGGCGTAGTCCAAGGGAAATATGAAAATTAAATGATATATTATTGCATTGTCATCCATTTATGAGCTATGTTTCAAATTCCAAGTCTCTAGCTCATCGGCAAGTGTCAAAATTTGCAAGAAAGCGATTTAATAAAAACAAGCCCGTGGGGCGTAGCCCAAGGGAAATATGAAAATTAAATGATATAACATTGCATTGTCTTCCATTTGTGAGCCATGTTCCAAGTTTCAAGTCTCTAGCTCGTCGGGAAGTTAGTATAAAATTGATTTCAAAATTTGTACCGGACAAGAAAGCGAGCTAATAAAAACGTTTTAAAAAAGGGTTGGAAATTAGTGTGTGTTTTAAATAAGAGAGCACAAACCCCATTTAATCATATTATTCACTCATGAATAATACATTCATGACACACATTATTCTAACCATTGTTGTAAACAGTACTTTAATTTGGGAGATATCGACCTTGAAACATACATAATTGCGGATCTTCCAGCAAAATAAATCGTCTTAATAACAAACATTTTGAGCCTTTGGGTGGAGATTGATCACCTATAATTACTCCCAATTATTTACCCAAATTCTTTCAGCTTTATTAACTTATCGTTATTTGTGATGTGGTCCAAAAACTTGAATGACACTTTTTAGAAATTTTTAACACTTAAACGTGCTTATTTTAGGACGCAACTTCCGTTTTTGGGTAGAGAACTATGGAATGGATGATATTAACGACTTCGAGATGAATGAGGAGGTTTTTAACGTAGGGCAATCTCATGAAATTGGCCATCGCCTCTACAACAACCTCAATGATAAACAGAAGGAATTTGTTGATGCTGTCATCCAAACACTTGATGATGAGAGTTCAGGTACAGTACACTGTTAATAAACTGAGAAATTCAGGTGCGAGAATACCTAGGATACCACTAATAGCATTGAACATATGTTTTAGCAATTCCATTTAACCAATGTTAAATAATGTTTATTTTCGGGCCAAAAACGTCATTTGTTGATGTTTATGATCCATACCGGGTATTTTTCTAGTAATCGTGTAGGATACCAATAACCTTGAATAATAGGGAGGTTACTTCAATATTTAGAACAGTATGTTTTGAAACTATTTAAATAATGGTCAAGCCTTTTTTTATTTACAAGTAAATGACATAGTTAGTTATCAAAATACAGTTTCAGTTTTGAAATAAAACATATGGTTAACACATATTATTTGTTGAAAAAAAAGAACAAAAAAAAAACAGAATCCTACTGCATCAGCTTTTAGAAACCCGCAGACTTGGATAATATAAGCTAGGATAATAATGAAGTTAACTGTAAATTGTAAATTTTTGTTTTTAATCAATGTCATCTGATTTAATTCATTTTTTAGCTTCAATTTTGTATACTATCTTTCTTTATACTATTCAAACAATGTCACCAGTTTTAAAATCCTGACAGTAACAAAACATAATGTTGTGATAGTACAAATGAATTGATTTGTTTTCAGGACCAAAATGTTTCTTCCTTGATGGACCTGGAGGTACAGGGAAAACATTTGTCTACAATACCTTGTACCACCTCTGCCGAAGTCGAAACATCATTGTTAAATGCATGGCATTTACAGGCATTGCATCCATACTTCTGCCAGAAGGACGCACAACCCACAAGACATTTGGTCTTAAAGTTCCTTTGACTAATGATTCAAAATCATCAATCAAACGTGGATCTTCAAAATTCAAGGAATTGGAAGCAGTCAACATGTTCATGATGGATGAAGCACCAATGCTTCCTAAATACGGTCTTGACTGCATGGACGAGCTCCTTCGTGATCTAGGTGACAGGAACTCCCCATTTGGCGGGAAAATAATGATTTTAGGAGGAGATTTTCGACAGTGTCTACCGGTCCAGCCAAGGGCAAATCGTACCGAACTTCTAGACCTTTCCATCAAGAAAAGTGTTCTCTGGAGGTACTTCAGGGTTTTCTCTCTGGAACAAAATATGAGAGTTGATGCGGAAGAGGAGTGCTTTGCTAGGTACCTACTGAAACTTGGAAATGGAGAGCTTGATACCAACGCTGATAGTGAAATTGAACTCCCTAATGACATCATCACTAATACTAATGACATTGTTAACGAGATCTATGGAGAATGTCTCTCCGACGGAAACTTTGAGGACATGAAGGATCGAGCAATTCTTGCACCCCTAAACAAGGACGTCGACACAATTAACAACACCGTTATCAATTTAATTCCTGGAACCGAGACCATTTATAAAAGTTACGATTCAATTAAAGATGAACCAGAAGGTGCCTTAAAGTTCCCCCCAGAATTCCTAAACTCTATCGAGATTTCAGACCTACCACCACACCAGCTCAGACTAAAAAGTAATACCATTATCATGCTCCTTCGTAACCTTGACGTCTCAGAGGGTCTGTGCAATGGCACTAGACTGATAGTTACAGCACTCTGTCCTAACATAATAAAAGCCAAGATCATCACTGGTGAACACTCTGGCCGAGACGTGCACATACCGAGAATCACCCTTGATTCATGCAAGTCTCAGCTAGGGTGTTCACTACAAAGACACCAATTCCCTATTCGTCCAGCCTTTGCGATGACAATACATAAATCGCAAGGGCAAACATTTAAATATGTCGGCGTCGTGCTACAAACGCCTGTATTCATGCATGGCATGCTATACGTTGCATTTTCAAGGGTAAAGCGTAGAAGTGCATTGAAAGTGGTGGTACCGCCAGAAACAGGTGGTCGCACACGCAACGTAGTGTGGACCGAAGTTTTTAATTGATTTGGTTCGTGCATTTGAGAAAAGACTTTTGTTATATTATGAAATTCTATTTTTCTTGCACTATTTTTTATTTGTTTTGTTGTAAACATTTTCTTTGATAGTTAGTTTTATTGAAGGTATGTATTGTACTGTATCAGATGCAGGCAAGTTCTTTACTTGCTCTGCTCTTTAGGGATACTGCTTTAAATGTATTGAAATATTTTGGAATATTTCATTTTTATATAATAATCTTATATTCTTATGTGAGCAATGTTTGCTTGCAGATCAAAAACAGTAAGGACAAAGGTCGGGGTACCGCAGGGTTCGGTTATGGGCCACATTTTGTTTTTAATTTTAATTAATGACATTAGTTTCAATTTAGATTGTAAGTCAACAATTTATGCTGATGACACCTCTTTACTTGTTAGCCATCGAGATTTAGATTGTATGGAAAATGTTGCCAATTCTGTTTTTAAAGATGCTGAAGAATGGTTTACAGGAAATGGATTGTTTTTAAATTCTAAAAAACACTGAGAATATTGGTGACCTTGAAAAAGAATCATGAAAACCATCAATTTGTTCACGATTATGAAAATTTTGTAACATTACTTGGTATAAAAGTAGACTGTAAGCTGTCATAGTCTGACCATATTAATTTTGTAAATAATAAATTGCCCAGAGTTGTACATTTGTTAATAAATCTAAAAAGACATGTTTCCAGTAAATACTTGTAAATGGCATATTTTGCTTTTTATGAAAGTGTTATCTGGTGGATAATCTGGAGTAACAGAGTTGGAATTAAAAAAAATTAAATCAAACAAAAAAAAACTGTTAGAATTTTTTTGGACTCAGAAAGGTTAGCCCGCTCCAGGCCACTTTTTGTCTCATCGGGGACCCTGACTATTGTACACTTGTATATTTTAGAGGTATTGATGTTTGTCAAAATTAATTTAAATATATTTTCTGTCAGAGAAAAAATACATGATCATGTAACCAGATTTAGGAATAAATTAGATCAACAAAGGTTTAGGTTCAGTAAATCAATGAATTATCATGTTAATTTAGGTGTAACATTTTTCAACAAGTTACCATTGACTTTTCAGAGTTTGCTTAAAAAAGCATTAAATAGATTGTTTAATTGGTTACAATTGAACCCATTTTATACATTGGATGAATTTTTAAATATTAAAATAGAGTCTTCAAGCCTAGCCCAATTTTAGATTTTAAACATTACATGGTTTTTTGTGATGTTAGCTCAATTTAATGTTGCTTGTTTATCAATGTGAATCATATACAACTGTTTATTGAAAAATTTTGTAATTTTGTTGAATGTCTAATAAATGTCTTATTATTTGTCTTATTTGCTTGTATGTATAATTTCACAAAGTACTTGAAAACGGCTTTGACAACAGCCTTTAAATGTTGGAAATAATTTATTTCTAGCCTAAAAACGTAATTGACGACCACCAACATCTAAGGCAAATTCACATTTCACTATACAACTCAATATAACAATATACAAATTTAACATTTGCCACATGGGCTGCTAAGTAGTTATGTTGGTTGAACAAAATAATAAGTAAAAAGAAAAACAAAAGACTTGTAACATATTGTGTTCATAATAAGCCAACCACAGTATACGGTAAAGGGGGAAACATCAGTTGTTACTATTGAGCAAAGATTACACTAATTTATCTATATAGGGGATATTTTCCCTTATATATTGATTAATTTTCAGTGTAATCTTTGCTCAATAGTAATAACTGAAGTTCCTCTATATGAGGTTTTTGCCATTGACTGAAAATAAAATAATTTGTTGTGGATTGTCAGGTTAAATTTTCCATCATAATAAATGGAAATTCCACTTGAAGTTAAATAATTAAGTGCGAACTTAGTTGTAAATAAGACTTGATATTGTGAAATCCGTGGATAAGTTAAAGTCATATTGTTGTTTACCTGTTTTAAAGTAAGTTTTGAGTTACCTAATAAAAGTAGAATGAATATTAAGAGTTTAAGTTTGTAACAATTCCTTTCTTTCAGTATAAGTTTACAATAATGAGTATTTACATAGTAACCAAAAGTAAAAACACTAGGAAAATAAAACACAGCTGGCCTAAAGATATTGCTTTAGCAACACTTAAGTTGCCTTTATATTGCTTTTACAATCGAAATCAACTATACCGAGCCATGGCTCGGTCCCCCGGTACTAAATACAAATGATAAAAAGGCAAAAGAGTGTATATGATACATGGTTTCATTGACCATGTAGTGTCTAAATAGTTTGTTATTTAGACACAATTTTAAGTTTGCAATTGTTAAGTTAAGTGAAAATAAACGTGTAAAACGTGTGAGCGATTAAACATTTTAAAAAATCCATTGAGGACATATAGATTTTTTTGTTCCTTGTTATAGGAATTACATAATGTTTGAACGCTTGGTAAATGCTAAGAAACTTGTATTTCAACCCAATAGTACAAGTGTTAATACTTATTATCTATAAGTTCGTTAAAGATCAGTCAAAACGAAATAGTATTGAGCTGTTTGGTACAGATTTTTAAAATGTATACTTGCACCATTTAATGTCAAAGGTTGAAGTGTCTTTGGGTTGAAAGTTTAGGAATGACCATTGCAAATCAATCCTCTCTCCTCCCCTCGTGCTGTAACCCTGAGTGCTGATTGTCGAATCCCAAGAGAGGAGGTCTAATCCTAGATTAGGTTACACCTCACCACAGTCCGCAACCACAAACCTACTGTGACTATTGATCAGCTGGTAGAGGTCTTGAACGTCAAACCACCGTGAACTTAAGTACACACTTCATTTAAATACCAGCTGTATCTGTTAAGCAATGTAGCCGATAACAGGTTGTGGTACAGTTTACTAAATTTCTCCCTATGTTATTGCTACTGTGATACTTGATGATGATAGGCACCTTCTATGACTTACAGTATGTTGCCATTTCAGTTAGGCTGAATCAAAAAGAATACGATACGACCGAAATCATATAAATTAATCAGCATACTAAGTAGATGGCTTAATTATGTGACTAGGCAATATCTTTAGCTTGGGAGCGAAATATCTAGTTCTATCCAAAATCAATAGTACATAGTTTGTATATTGAAAACTATCTTCTTACTTGCCAATCTAACTGTGTTTTTCTTGGTTTTAATCACAATTTTGCCGATGCTCATGTTTGTTTTTAAGGTATTATTTCTAAGGAATTTGTGATCTACTTTATTTGTATTTGACAACAGTTTACATGTAAAACATAACTTTGTATGATGTACGCTAGCTAAATAAGGACGTTATTCGTTTATTCATTGCAGACAATCTTTCAGCACAATCAGTAAAATACGAAGTTTTCACGACATTTCGGGATATAGGATCCAATCTAGATCTAAGGGGAGAAAGTTTCTAAACATAACAAAACTAGTTCACAAACTCAACGAGGCTGGGAAATTCCAAATGAAAATCATATAAAGATCTTTTTTGTTCTTAGGCGCTAGGCGCAAGCCTGGGATTGTTTGTAGCATTACTTCAGGCTAGAGCTAGGGGTTGCTTAAATAAAATAAATTGGTGATTTGGCGGGATTTGAGCCCAGGACCTCAGGGACAGAAGTCCTTTGCTTTAACCACTTGACCAGCTCACACCCCTTCCCCCTAAAGGACTCTAGTGAAAGCAAGAAACAATAAGTTGAAAGAAAACAACTGTGTTAAAGTGTGTGTTGTAGCTCATCATCTAAAATATACTGCTTATCCTCAACACGTAAACTGTAAAATACTAAATACCTGTATTACAGCTAAAAAAGACTTTCAAGAAAATCTTCATGTTATGAGAAGTAAAGGGAAAATCCCGAAACAAGTAATTCCGTCAGTTTTCAAAAGCGTTTTCTCGTAAAAGCCTGAGTCATGAAGTTGCAAGCTGCAACAATGCAGCCATTCATTGTTCACCTAAAAACTTGAAGCTGCTATCAAATAACAGTCAGTATCATTTACTGCCGAAACAAATGACTTTGGATCAGACGGTCCGTTTTGTTTATCACCAAACTTGATGGCGGAACAGTAAAATCGCTTGAACGACCAGTCGATCCAAGTCAACGCACTTAAAGCTTTTTATCTGTGTTTTATCAGGGTATGATGACCATGGATGGAAACATGTTCAACAGAGTGTTTAGCCTATCTTATTATACCTAGAAACTGGGATTTTTACCAGGAATCTTTTTACACATTTTTATAGGCTCAATACCGTGGCATTATTCCACAGGTTCTATTGGCGATGGCTGGACCTTGAGGACCTAACCCCTCTATCTACCACAACAGTCAGCTCCCCGACAAAGAAATGTAAGCACTTTCATAATATCCTAAACATTAGATTTTAAAATTAGGAAACTATAGGCTATCTATAAACCAACACAATATAAACAAAATATATATTTTGGACAATACTTCCGAAACCGTTTTATGGCGTAAACCCGAAAATGTTGCCTGAATATATGCAGTATCTACTTGAACGATCATTCATCGGTCATTATTGCGGACACAGAAAAAGAGCAAAAGACCCAGACCTGGGTCCTACCATGAAAAACTACTGCAATATCTACTTTTCTATAGAAGCATTTGCAGGTACACCGAGTTATCATAACATAGTTCTTCAAACATAAGTATTTGATTCCTCACTTTATAGAACTTTCTAAAATTAAGGATACAAATCGCTCCTTAAAACGACGTTCTTGCAGCGAGCTACATAATTTTTACCCTTGAATATTGCCAAACTTTGCTACTATCTGATGGTCGGGTTTGACAGTTGTACCAACTTCCACCGACCACTGGTCAGACTTGACAGTTGTACCAACTTATAATTGCCTAACATTAGAGACCGCTGAGTCCTTAGCAGATGGAAGTCGAGAGTTCTCGAGGATTAGTTCAGGAGAAGTTTGTCTCAAACTTTAATGAAACGAAATTAGTACCCTTTAAAATCCCTTAAAACGGATTCTTTCTAGGGTGACGATATGTTATAGTTTAACCCCTTCGTTAAGTAACAAGTTTTACCCTTTCTATTTACGTATCAGGATGAAAATAAAGGGGAAAGTTCATAACCCGATTGCGTCTTCTT